GACGTTAGTCTGACTGTGCAATCGGTCGTATGTTGTATTTTTATAATCTACATATGATTATTCAGTTTATAATTTCGATATATAGGTCAATGTCTTGGACCGCAATAAAGTATCAATCGTACTTCATCTCGTCCCAATCGCGCGGACGTTCTACTTTTGGTAGATTAATTTTTTTCCTCCCACCATCCCCTCTCTCTCTCTCTCTCTCTCTCTCTCTCTCTCTCTCTCTCGCTTCTTTCTCTTCCGCCCTCTCTCACTTATCTCGTTTTGTTTTGTTGTCATTTTCGCGCGTCTCATTTCTTATAATATCTACATATGGTTTTGCGGGTCAATGCTGCGCGCGCGCGCGCATGCCGCAATAAAGTATCAATCATACCGCCTGATCTCTTGGACCCTCTCTGCTCCGGGATGCTGCGCACCGCGTGGCGCCCAAGTATGTTCCGCCTCGCGAATATGAAGAGTGCCAGCAGCCTGGTGACACACTTCCCCAATTCTCGCATTGTTCTTCATCCGCGTGTACGTACGAAATAAATCTTCATGCAACGGGTAGAGCAGGAATGAACGAGGGAGGAAGAAAAGGGGGCTGACTGGTTCCCCTGGCCTCGTGACCGGCTGGTAATTGCAATTGCTTTTCGTGGGAGGGCCGGTAGATAATTGATAATTAAGCGCGCGCCCTTTTTGCCCCCCGGCAAAGAAGCTGAGCATTCGGGACGAGGAGGAAGAGTAACGGTAGGGAACGAAAGACCAAATGTAACGATGCCATTTGGGACCGGATGTGATTGGCTGGCATCCTTGCTTTCTCATTACCGTACGTTATATTCTTCATTCGTTGCAATTTAATTCTTTATATATCAAATTATATCAGAGAAATGAATGTGTACATTTATTTCATTGTTCATCTAAGTTTAACCTAGTTTAGATGACTTCTTTAAAAGTAAACAGAAAAAGTTGGAAAAGTTTACTTAAATGGATCGTATGACATTTTTAATTAATGCAAATAAATATTAATTTTTATTGTTACGAATCGAATTCTTTTCTAGAATATATTATACGTCTCTAATTTAATATGTATTTTCATTCTCCGCGTTACATCAATTCGCGTCGCTGTCGGAAATTTCTAAAAATGTTTCTACAAGTCATTACAGCCGCGGTATGCAGACGCACGGCAATTGGTCTCTGTCTGAAATGATGACGAAAATTCAAATCGACATTGAAATTTCATTTTAGCAGGCTTATCTTAATTTTTCGACACATGTGCGCAAATAAGCGTGGACGTCAATACGCGCTCGAATGTCTCAGAACGGTTAGAATTGACGTCGGAAGGTCGAATAACTTTTCTTATTTTTCCAAGAATAACGGTTAACGGTTAATGTGGAGAAAAAAAGGAGATAAAATGCGGGTCACTTTACAGAGTGTTTTTTATGACTGTTTTTTTACAAAGAATGCACTACATGTTCGCGAGATTAATCTATGTTAACTTAAATGACAAGATTAATAATATTATTAGCTGTACATGCGCATAACCAGCAGACCGTAGTAGCGCTGCAATTAATAAATAACAACGATTTTTTGTTTTTTGCTCGTTTGTTTGCAGGCAATACATTCGTGGATTCGATCTTTCCCATGTACACTGATCGTAACGTGCGAATCTAAGTGTTACAACGATATTTCAGTTTATTGCCTTGACTTTACTCTCCTCCATTCGGACCGACTGTCACTCGTTATATCAACTATAAATTGCTGGTAGTAGTATCTTTCTCTCTCTCTCTCTCTCTCTCTCTCTCTCTCTCTCTCTTTCTTCTTATCTAAGGGTGAATCTCGGTAGGAACTCTACCATTGTAAAACTACGAGTAATAACATTGTAACTCATTGTCAGTGGTAAGGTAATAATGCGGTGTCCCGCGGCGTCGTCGTCTGGTTGGTTGATGTCGCTTTCGTGGAAACGTGCATTGTCGCACGAAGAAAAGATACGTTCTAGGATACGCTGGTCTACGTTCGTAGTTCCGCTTCCCAGACTGGTATTTATTATAGGAAAGTGGAGAGAGATTAAAGAATCTTTTTTGCAAACAATGTAAATAAAAATACTAGAACTTGAATTAAATAAGACCCAAAATACATTGTTGACTATTACGGATTGCATTAATTTGTACAAAAATTATTACAAGAATGCACAATAAAATATATGTAACAATATATAAAATTTATGTATAATAATAAATAAAGTTCCGACCGAAACTTTTGCGAAACTGAACCGAAACCACTCGGCTACGTATTAATTTCAATCGAAACTGAAATTAAAAAGTAGGAATCCTACAAAGGCCATATGTATAAACATGCTCATAATCTTCATAAATATTATTTATTGAAACAATAGTTAAATTTCGGCCGAAATCGAAAACCGAAATTTCGGTTGTCAATTTTGGCCAAAGAATATAAGTATTACTTCTTCATAAACATCATTATTTAATTATTAAAACAATAATTATACATATTAAAATTAATATTTATGAAGATGAACTATATGGTTTTAGTCAAAACTGACACGTAATGAGTGATTTTATTAATTTCGGTAAAAGTTTTGGTCGGATTCTAATAATAAGAAAAAATTATACATAACATATCTGATTTCAATACTTATAACTCTTTTTTGAAAATATTAAAAATATCGCTTTGCGATTCCATATTGCATATATGTCAAACACAACAATATTCCACATGTTATAGATAATTTTTATACCATATGCGTGAATATATTATAACACTGGAATTTAAGGTTTCAGATACCTACCTGCGTATTCATTGATCTCACGGAAAGCCGTTTATGCGGAATTTGTGGTCTTCTAATCGGGAAGCATTATTAATTGACAATACCTGCTCTGTACATAAAAGCAGGCGAATAGCTGGGGAATCGTTATCTGCGCCACAAACACGAAGAAACATAACTTCGTCGTCGGGATCATTGCTTATCCGGCGGGATCGCGTAGGTGTTAAAGCGCGCGGTTCTCGCCCACTTGAATCGATTCCGAATGGACAGCACGCTCGTTTCGTCTTATCGTTCTGTTAACTGTCGCGTCGTTAAGGAGACCGCCCGTCGAAAATTACAATCTACCTGTACATTTTTCTATCGACATTTCCTACAGTGCTCAAAAAATTCCAGAACGGTAGGAAATGTTGGCAGAATCGTACGAAACTTTTAGTTTTGGGAGATTATTATAATATTTAAGATTATTAATTATATTCACTTAATTTATTAAAATTGCGTCTTCTTCAAAACTTTAAAAAGTACACAAAAAATTGTGCTTATAAATATATTTAGGTTATTGAATTTGTTTTATTAAGAAAAATATAATTCTATTCATATATTTTTTTGTGAATTAATTAATATTACAACATATATGATATATTTATATATATGTAAGATTTAAAATGAGAATATTTACATGTATCTTTAATTCAATTTATGTAAACTGAATATCTCGCTTACATGTTTTAACTTAATTTTATTTAAAACTGTTTTTCTCTAATTTCGTCAGCTAAAATTAAATTAAATATAAAGATGTATTTACAAGTGAAATTATAAATGCAAATTGGATTGTCACGTATGCACTTGCTTATTTATCACGTTTAACCGTAAGGAGACACGAAGTCAGTGAATAATTGCGGCTGATTTTCACGAAATTACGCGACGCGATGCAAAGTGCATTAAAGCGTTGCTTAATCAAGAGGCGTTCTGCATTATTTCATAACTGGACGAATCACTTCGATGGCGAGTTGCACAACTCACCGCTGCGTCGATGCATTTCACGCGACACGCGCGAACGCAATTCCGGCATCGCGTTCAATTGCCTCGAATACAATCGATCAATAAATATTTATGAGCGACTCGAGCATGTCTCGCGACGTGACAGATGCACGCCTGCCGATATTTTATGTCGATGACGTCTGTTAGGGACTGCAGGCGGGATGATATGTTCGACATAGTAAAAGATTCAATTTATTTAATCTTTTAAAGTACGAAGTGCTGAAATAACAAGAAATTCAAAAAGATTTAAACAAAGTACTTTTGTTATATGCGCAACTTTCTTATTCAAATTTCTATGAGATTTAATAATGTATACTTTGAACTATATCTCTATAATCTTCAAAATTTACAGAGTTTTTAAAAAATTTTAAATTTTCTATAATTTTAAGATTCTATAATCTTAAGATATAAAAATTTCGTAATTTTAATACTTGTAACGATTCTCTCAAAGATTCCTATACATCATGACTCATATTTATGACTAAATTCGAGCCGAATTTTTGTTTGGATAATATAATTTTTTATGGTACAAAATCAGCTTTAAAGCTTTTTTTTTTTTAATATTAACGATTCTCTTAAGACGTTATATTGTATAGAAGGGATGTACTTGCCGTTACCGGAATTCTTGCGGCGCTTATTTACGAGCACGTTACACGCAATGTTAATTCGACAGATTTGCTCATAAATAACACCCGTGTATACCCACACGGACCAGGTATATATTTATCTCACTCTATAAAATTCATTCCCGCCGGATGTACCGCAGTTTAGGTGATGGCTGAAATTTATGAACGCAGGTTGTGGAATCAACGCGCAGCAAATTTTGAACGCCTTCGTCCGGCACATATTTTTTGCAGTCATTAAAGACAATTTTGTGCGCGTGCGTAAATAAATTCAAAAGGCTAGTTATTTCAAAAAGGCTAGTTAGTCGTGCATATATTCCGAGATGTAAAAGTTTCGAAAATTCCCAAGAATTTATTTAAATTTCTTATCTTTCAACCATATCCCACAAATGCGTGACTTTTTCTTTAGAGCACGGAAGGATTTAGAAAACTGATTTCTATTTGCCGAGCGTCTAAAGAAATAAAGTGTCTTACATTCAAACACGCTGGGATACGAGTAGAGATACTTCAAATTAAATCCAATTCTCGGTTCTTGAATGTCATAGCAATCAGTCGTTTTCCATCGATTGTTTCAGGAGAATGGCTGTCTGTACTCACATATACGGTGGGGCGAGGCCTTCGTCGTGGTCTACAGCGTGACATGTAAACGGAGCTTTCAGGAAGCTCGTGGACTTCTCAAACAACTCGCAGATCTACGCCTGCCATCCTATTTCACCGCCCTCCTACTCGGCAACAAGAGAGATTTGGATCATGCTCGGTAAGCGTAAATCACACATTGTTAGAAATATGATTAACGGTTCCATGTAATACGGGCGGGCGTGTATCTCCGAACATCTGATGACGATCTCTTGACTGATATACGACCAAATAAACCTCATATATACGCATCATAAAAACGGTATTTCATCATAAAATCAGTAGCAAGACGTAATTTTTCGCCACTTCATCGACGTGAGAGAAGCCCTTTCGGTGTGTCTCGAAGCTCGTTTATCGCGTTTATTATATATAATTATAATTAATAATCGTTCTTTCTGAGGTATAATTTATTATCTCCTGGACTTGCAGAATTCGATATTATGTTACCGTAGTTACATTTCAATCTGCTGTTGAATAATTGTTAATAGTCTACATGATACTTGAACGCAGCTGAATATATTTTTCGTACGTAAATAAAAGTAAAAGAAAAACGATATTTGAGTATTTGTAAGTAATGTTGTGTTTATACGTGGCCCATTTTTATTTATGGCTTCGCAAGTCTGACACACTTTGTCGATTGTCATCTTAAGGTGTTCTCACACAGTCAATATTTTTGACAATAATTTTTTAATTAAGTAGATTGAAAGTACATAACTTTTAAAATTTTAATATCGGATTTAATGAAAGAAAGATCGGACATTAGAAGACAATATTTCCTCGTATGAAATGTTTTCTCCCAAGGAGAAATATCTAAAATTATACTTTTGGTTTGAATTTGTTATGAAAATCAAGATCGATTTCGCATATTTAATATATATTATGTCTGCGCAAAGAAAAAAATTTAAATCTTAATAAATATTTCTTTTAATAATACTAACTAAACATTTACTTACAGTAAGTAAATATATACTTAAATGATGATTAAGTTAAACTAATGGTTTTTGTATCATTGTGCCAAAAATAAATATATGTCTTTTTACATTTATTAAATATTTATTGTAAAATTTAATATACTTTTCTTCAGTACACGACACTAAATCCTATTCTCTTCGTGCGGAAAAAAGAAACGGTTTTGCTAAATATCTAAAAATTTAGTTAGATACAGATTTGATAATAATTTTATTAGATCATTAAAATAATTGTAGGGAACTCAAGCCTGATGAGAGCAATACTATAAAAAGTTTTGACAAGCAACAATCTTGAACGCTCTATATAATTATGATGACCCAACAAAATTATTATTTGTATCTTGCTAAATTTTTAGAAATTTTAGCAAAACCGTTCTTTTCGTGCAGAATTGAGATTTATCAGACTGCAGAGCTCATTCGATTGCCCGATACGAATCGTATGAGGGCCGCTTAAGTGGCTCGCTCGCAAGAATTACAATATCATTTCGCGTCGCGCGATCGGAGATCGTGCGACACGGCTTCATGTATCGCCCTCGGCAGATCGTCGATTATTCGATCGTTTCTCCTTTTCTTTTAGCATCGCATTTTATCCCAGCTGATCGCACACGTGCGCGTGGTAAATACGTGTGCTCGGCCTCTGTTAATCCTGTAGTTCACTTTTCACTTGCGAGTAACAGGATCCCGGCTGTTTCCTAGATGGGATGAGATTTCGCGTGTGCCACGCGATTCATATTTTTTCAAGCAATTCTTTATCAGGTTGTTTCAGCATGATTTTGTTGTTTTTCCTACACTCGTTCGTAGTAAACAATGTTCACGTTGCTTACTACGAATTGCTTCTGTGTCTTATCAAGAGGAAAATGAGATATTTTGCTCCTTCATGTTTCAAAGTTTCCTTAGGTTGTAAATAAATGCAATATATTAAGAATTATTTGAAAAAAATTATAGATTGTTCTAAATTGCATTTAAAAGTAATACAAAAAAATTAGAGACAGTTGACCAAAAGTTGGATCAAAAGTTGTTTCAATAAAAAATAATATTTTTTAATAAATAATACTAAAAGACTCTGTAAGTATAAAACAATGTAGTCAAAAGAAGGGCAAAGAATCAGTAGCAAAGAACTTTAATTTAATTAAATTCATAAAATTCATATAACAATTACAATTGATAAAAAACAAACATTTTGACTCTGCCCGAGTTATTTTCAATGTTGCCGTAATATTTATCGTTATAAAACAAAAATATACATGGTATTAAAAAACTCATTATAATTTTAAATCCTGTATTCTTCATTTCGTGTAATATACTGCGAGTCATTTATATCGGAAATTAAAGTAGTCAAAAAACAATATTCTAGAAAAATGACCGTGAACAAAAAATTAATACTTAATATAATACATACAAATTAGTAATAATAATGTACCTTGTCAGTAATATCGGTAAATGTGTTGAGAATCCATTAATAAAAAGAGAGAAAAAACACAGATAGATGGTAATTCATATCGTGGTATAATACATTGATTTTTTTAATTTGAAACAAATTTGCAAGAGTAACGAACAGTCCGACTTCTACGACGTGATAACGCAATGTCGAGAAGAAAAATATTTATCGAGAACAGAAAAACGGCAAAATAGGGGGAAAAAAAGAAAGAAGATATTAGGAGGATTTTTTAAATTTGTACTCTACTAGAAATATATGAAAATGTATTATAAAATAATGATAAAAATCTCAATTTTTTTATATAAGTACTTTACTGACTTCAAAAATATTTATGTATAGTTACATTGAGATGCAAACATTAATTATTCAATAAATAAATAAAATATTTATTTGTTATAAACTAATTGGTGAATCTCAATGAAATTTTGCAATAAGTCATTTTTAGTACTTAAAATATTTGTATAAAAAAATTTAGATTTTTATTATTTTTAACATTTTTGTTTATAACAATAAAATTAATCAAATAAAAAATAATCTAATCTATAACAATGCGTTATTCAATAAAAATAGAATATTATAAACACAACTTTCACATGTATGCAGTTTGTTTAAAATGTAAATATTAATATGTTTTATGCCCTTTTAATCTCCTTAATAGAATAGACTTATATATTTAAATTATACAAGATCTTTGAACGTTCGAGAACTGAATATCTAAATCTTCTAAACTGTATAATTCAATATTGTTAATTCTTATGACTTCTCTCGGATGTATATTTTACGTCCATTCACGAACTACCGGAATTACTGGAAACTTTTTATACGACGTTCTTGTTTAAGATGTTTTTTTGCTGCGCGTGCGTGAGTTTTTTTTTTTTTTACCGATTACAGTGCGCGTTTTCGCAAAAACCAGTTCAACGAACCGAACGTTCGATCGGCCATACGATGACGGAGTAAGTTAATCGGCCGACACGTCAACTCCGGCGAGCGATTCATCCAAGTCGGTCAAGCGACTTGGACAGGTAAACAGATCTGGCGTGGCGAAATATCGCGTGAACAGTTTCTAGACGCGCGACGAACGACACAATCACTACCGGGTACCTCTCGAATCGGCGGCATCCGATACTGACACTGCGGTCTATGCTTAGATGCCACGTGTCATGTTTCACGCATTGCCATCGAGAATTCAGCGGTTCGACAAGTATGCTAATAAATGAATGTCATATCAAATAATTTGCCGATCATAATGGTTGAGCAAAAGTAATAATTTGAGCAAATGTAAAGATAATTAAATTACATAAATTTCCTTGATTTTATATCATGTTCTTAGAAAAATTTATTTATGATCTTAAAATTAATGAAATTGGCAATTTAAATCTCCGGAGATATTTAAGAACTTAAGAATTAAAAAATTTGTATTATAAAGTTTATGAGATTAATTTTTTTTTAAATTTATATAAGGAATATTAATCTTTTAACGATAATCTAATTTAGCAAATTGCAATCCTGTAATTAGTGATAATTGTCAATGTGATCGGCTTCTATAAAACGATGTAATTTCTTCGATATGTATGAGTTTTTATATAGTTATATTCGAATGAAGAATTGTGAAAAGATGTAGCTTGTTCAGTAAAAGATGTGCGATACATACAAGTGTGGCTTGCGATTTCTTGAGCATTAGTATATCTTGTCGCATTTTATGGAACCAATGGCTTCAAAGTGCATCATCGATATTGCATGATTTGGGTGAGAGAAAGCTAGGAAATACAAGTACACGTCGTTTTTGCTTGTAACTTGTATAATAAAGAGTGGCGGCTCATTAGCCTTGCTAAATCGGTTTCTCGCTGCAGATAAATTAACAGGACAGTGATGACCGTGCGAATAAATATTTGAATTTCTTTCACAGACACACTTTGTGAACTTATCATTATATGTCGTGGATTCACGAATCGATGGTTTTCTTTCAAACACGCGAAGCAAAAAAAAAGAAAATATTTTCTCTTAAGTTCGAGTTCTCTTAATTTAGTTGATTGTAAATGAAATTAAATTTTACTCGAGGAATAAAATTTCTTTTAATAATAAAATATATGAATAAAAGAAATATTTACGATTGTATTTAATTATATTAATATAGAATTTTATAAAATTGTTCAAGTATTAGTCAATGTAAAATTTTATTTAAGATTAAAACATTGTTAAAACTTAACCAACAAGGAAGAGGAATAATTAAGAAGAGGATAACAACTGTAAAATAGGGAATCAGAAAGAGATTCTGTGTCATTTTGCCTGTTCAATCCATGCTCCTGTTTCTTAATATATACCATCTCCGAGATCAGTCTTTTGTTGCAAGTTATAAGATGGTTCTATCTAATATTTTTATGTCATCCCATTTAAAGTCATGTTCGTAAGTCTTTTTTGAGAAAAGACATTTCTTTACGGTTGGAATATGACCGGAGATAATTTTTTATTTTGGCCTTTTTTTGCTAACGAATTGTCTTCATTATCACGTCGCTCGTATCCCGAAGATCGCAGATTGATCGTTGTAGCTGCGAAAGAAACACAGGTGAACAGAACTTGGTATCCCTTCTTCATCGGTCAGTGAGGAATTTCCCGCGCGATTCCCGCAGGAATGCGGATCATCGTTAACGAAGACACGCTCCTTTTCTCGTCTTATGAGCCACCTTCTCTTCACGTTACCTTTATGGGACTTTGCAT